CGAGGCGGCTCCGCCCCTCCCGAGCGGGTCGGGGCTCGTCCCGCGCTTCTCGCAGTGATTGTATTATGGAATATTCTGAGAGAAGGGAAGGGATCCACATGGATCGTCGAGCTCGACTTTAAGGGGTTGGCTCATACAAGGATTGAACATACAGTGTTGGCATTTTTAGCAGTGGGTTCTAACCAACTCAGTTAATGTCGGGCCGTACTACACTGTCCCTGCCCGCTCTCAGCCCACGCGTCCCTTCGCTGCTTTCCCGTGCTGCCCATTGCTCCCTGCGGTGGACACAGCAGCTCTGGGTCTCGGTCAGTAATAAGAGGGGGACCCGCGACCCTCGGTCCGCGTTTCGGGCTGCAGCGCCCCTTCCTCGTCCCTCCCGCGGCTCTGCGGCAAAATCCGACCAATGCCGGGGCTGGCCCGGCGCTGCCGCCCCTCCCCGCCGCTCCTCCACCTCTCGCCCGCGGGGAGCCTCACGGAGGAGCCTCTCTTGGGCAGCTTTGTCTTTGTTTGCTTCGGCCATGGCGGCTTCGCGTTTCCTTTGTGTGCCCGGACACTCCCAGAGCTGCTGTGTCCGTGCAGTGGTGCTGGGGCCCGGGCACGGAGCGATCCGTGCTTTCCCGTTCGCACGGAGCGGCTGCAGGTCGGTGCGAGGGGAGCAGGGAGCCGGGCCCTGACCGCGGGGGAAGCGCTCAGTGAGGGGCTCCGGGGGGAAAGGTGTACCCAGGGAGGTTCGGAGGGGCCGCTGGAGGGTGCAGAAGGTATCCTGCATCCTTGAGGCAGGCCCAGCCCCGCGGAGCTCGCTCCCGCCACCCTCACAAGGGAGTGTCCGCTGCTGTACACCGAGATCCAGCGAGCGAGAGAAAACGTTCCGGATACCTCAAACAACTGGCTCTCTGACATCTGGATAATGAACGCGAGCCAAACAATTCTTATTCCAATGAGGAAGCCAGAAATTTTGCTGTGTTTCACACTTTTGCAGAAAACGGCATCCATGCTGCTTACAGTATATATTGGACTGTATTTGTCAAGTGAATAAATAAACACTGAGAGACATATGAGATTGTATTTCTAAATTAAATCTGTTAAGATTTTAAATATTACACAGAATAGAACTGATACGCCTAAGGTGCTTGCCAATCCTTACATTATTAGTATATTATGTCCTTTAAAGATATCTACCTTTAGAAAACTTCATATCCTTTAAAATTTGTGCAGTTATTTATTTAAATTTATTCTTTAATATAATGTAGAGAACCTTGGCAACACCTCCAAAATATTTCTGGGAATAAAATATTCCCTAAATTCAGGAGGAAATGCAATTGAGATAGTCATGTGTTCAGTTACAGGTGCCAAAGAGGTATAAATCTTGTTATAAGTATCACTGTGAATTCATTTTTCCTTCAAATTTAAAGAATTGCCACTCATATATACAGTATAAAGAGTTACATGTTTCTTTAATTTAGATTAGGTTTGCTTTTTTGACTGAACAAAATGAACTAAGACTGTTTATTTACTAGCTGAAAGATTTGTCTCTAGTGGACCTGCCAGGCTGGTGCCTAACATTCCCTTTTGGCTACACAAAGTGTGCTTTGTTCTTTGTATCTGAAAATCTGTGTCTTACTATGTTTCCTGAGGCAATTATAAACAACATTCTGATTACTTAAGAAAGCCAAGAGAAATGATGCAAAATCTTTTGGTATGTCAAAATAATAATTTAGTCCTAAGGCTTCCTAAATGTGTAGCGAGGATCCTAGCATAAATTTTCCTTCCAGCAGTATAACCACTACAAGACTTGGAAAATCCCCTTCCATTTCTGCCAGAGATGGGTGATGGAGAGGCTGAGACCAGTAGTTTAAAACAAATTAAACAGCTGCAAAGCCCTTTCCTCAATAAATGTAGTACATTAGGTATAATTTAACATCATGTCTTCTAGAAGGCTGCCTTGCCTATACCTTGCTACAAGTGTACACAGATATTTCACAGGTGTGTCTGTTAGGGATATATTCAGTTCTTTCATGGATCAGAGCATTTGCTTAGGCAAAAATAATTTAAAAAAGAGAAGAAAGAAAATTTTGCTGCTGAATATAATCCCTAATAAAGCTGTTGATTTGAGATAATTTATTTTGGATCAAAGTTTAGTGCCCAATCTGCATGTTATAGATATTACATTTTCCTCATGAATTTGGGCACACAGCATTAGGGGCTAAATGAGAAAGGAAATCTTTGCAAAATGCAGCTCCATTAAAAAAAAAAAAATCTGTAGCTTTTCAAGTGTGGATTAATTAGTACAGTTGCCCCAGTTCCTCATTAAACTAAAATGAGGAAATTGCATTTGTCTATTACAATAAGGCAACATCTCACCATGACTGCACAAGAGGGTATGTAATGAGTAAAAAAAAAATAATTGCATCAGTATAATATAACCAACTTCAAAGCTGCTCATTATTTTCTTGAGAGCTTAAGTAGCAATTTAAATCCATATCTGTATCTGCTACAACTGTCATAATAGGTATAATAATATGCAAACAAAAGTAATGTAATACATACATTTCTGCTAGTGTTGCAAGTAATATAGATGAAAATGGGTAAAAAAGCTCTTCAAATTTTTAACTATGCTGTTTTTTGAGTCTTTTGATATATAGACTGGCATTACTGAGTTATCCCCAAGCATAACTGTGATCTATAACATTTGAGGGACCTTGGTTGTGGGTTTGTTGTTTCTCTTTTCTTTTGTCACAAATTCTTTGGGATGTGAAGGCGCATTGGAACCCAATGACACAGCTAAGGTACCACGTGATATGGATTTCCTCTTTCCTATTGCTTGTTGCATATGTAAATGAGATAAATTAATTCATTTAAACTTGTTTGGCTGCATTCCTTCAGCCACTGGAATTTGCTTGAAAGCACTACCATATAATCCATCTGATTTACCAGACTTTTACATTTCAGACCTCATCAGTGTTGATGGCATCACTGAGTTAGCCACTGGTGAAACCTCTGCTGGCTTAGACAAATCCAGGGAGTGTTAAGGACTGGATCACTATCACAGAGGATGAAACTCCAGGTACTGAGGTGAGAAGACAAATGAGTACAATAAGTGTTTGGAATGAATTTTTGAAGCAAATAATGCATTTCTGGTCAGATGACAGGAAAAATCAAGGGATATACTTGACTTAGCTCCACACTCAGACAATGGGGTCCTCTCTTGTGCTACCAACTTTGACCTCCACATACAGGAGCTTGTCCAGAGAAATCTAACTACTGCTTAGATACATCTATCCCCCTGACCTTTCTCTGGAATTCCAGTGCTTTGATGTAGATGCACACTTATGACCCAGAAAGCCCATCCTAATGTGGAGGATGGGGATTCTCCTGTTCTACTCAACTCTCCTGAGACCCCACCTGGAGCGCTGCATGCAGCTCTGTGATCTTCTGGCACACGAAAGACATGAATCTGTCCAAGCAGGTCCAGAGAGGGCCACAAAAATGATCAGATCTAGGTCATCTCTTCCATGAAGAAAGGCTGAGACAGCTGAGGCTGGTTGGCCAGGGGAAAAGCAGGTTCTGAGGAAACCCTGTTGCAATCTTTCAGTACAGAAAGATTTCTCTTCAGGCCTGTGGGGAGAGGAGGAAGGACAATGATTTTCAACTGAAAGATAAAAGTAAGGAGTTTTTTGCAAGGAGGCTTGTGGGACACTGAACAAAAGCTGTCTGGAGGAAACGTGGATGCCCCATCCCTAGAAGATGTCATCCCTGGAGTAAGGTGGGATGGGGCTTTTAGCAGCCTGGGCTAGTGAAAGGTGACCCTGCCCACAGCAGGGGTTTTGGACAAGATAATCTTTAATGGTCCCTTCCCACCCAAAGCATTCTGAGACTGAAATTTTCTGACAAACACCTATGTAGAAATTTCTTCTAGAAATTAGGTGTAGAAGGTTCATGCATGTTAAAATAAAATTTTAATTACCATTGCAGTTTTTAAAGAAGTGTAAGAGCCAGGAGATATTTAACTAGCAAATGCTAGCATTTAGCATTTATGATCAATAAAACAGCATAATAAAACCACTACAACCTTAAACGTGTCCATTTACAAACAAAACCTTGAGACACAGACACCATTGCTATAAAAGGTTAGTCTGGTCCTCCAGCAGCTCTCTTCTTTATGTTTCTCTCCACTAATGATCCCTGATGCCCCACTTTGGCCATGGCTCAATGCTGCCTAAAAGGCCTCTCAGCTACAGCTTGGGGATGGTGAGGAGGCACAGTGGGAGCAATGCCTTCCCCCATGCCCAGAGCACTCCTCCTTCTCTCCAGGGATGGAAGGAGCAGAGGTGAAGCAGAGATGAGACCAATCACCTCAATGCAGTGTGCTACAAACCATCAGATGAGGCTTCTGGGTATATCCAAGCAAAAGGAATTAGCCAGTTTTTCTCAGTTTATAATCATAAAGAGATTTGACATTGTGCTCTTAGGTGATATTTGTGCCAACAATATAGAAAACACAATATTATCTGTGGTTAATTAATGCAACAAGAGGAGCAGCAATGAATAGTGAGAGAATTATGAGTAGAAAGTTTGAAAATGCTACTTAAAATGGGAATATACCACCACTACAAGGCGTTCCTCAATGGAAGTGTTACACTGTTGCATTAGAGTGCAGGTTTGACTACCTAGAGATGTAAACAAAATGCCATTTTTCCAAAAGAATTCCTCATTTTATTAAGACATAAACTTAAGAAATATGGAACTTAACATCTTTTAAAGGACAAAGGCCTTTCGAGGGAATGAAGAAAGCCTTTTTAGATGGTTAGACGTAGCTATGTCTGGGGTTTAGGATGGTCTCCTATTTATCTTCAAGCTGCAGAGCTTTTGCCACTCCCACCTGTGCTTTAGTCACTGTCCTGTTTTCTACATCGTAACTAAGCTGTGGGACCATGACAGGTGAGCAGAATCCTAAAGAACTAGCCCTATACTGAGCATTATACTAATAATAAAACACATTGAAAACACTAAAGTTCATTTAAAAACGCAGGTCAATAAGCAAATATATCAGCCCTCTTCAGTATAAACCAGGTTTTAAAGCACTGTCACACAAGTTCGAGTTAAACGTAGTACTATATAAGACTCAGCACCAGACCACCTTTGTAAAGAAAGCAACACAACTCTTTTCTGATTAAGTGGGTGGCTCTGAAAAGAGCCTTTGGTTTAAAATGTTACGTCGTGCAAAGTCTGAGAAGCTTTGCTCGCCAAGTTATTTGCTTTTAGCTTTATGGCTCTCAGTCTTCTTGGGCAGCAGCACAGCCTGGATGTTGGGCAGCACGCCGCCCTGCGCGATGGTCACCTTGCCCAGCAGCTTGTTGAGCTCCTCGTCGTTGCGGATGGCGAGCTGCAGGTGGCGGGGGATGATGCGCGTCTTCTTGTTGTCGCGGGCCGCGTTGCCCGCCAGCTCCAGGATTTCGGCCGTCAGGTACTCCAGCACGGCGGCCATATAGACAGGAGCTCCAGCACCCACCCGCTCCGCGTAGTTACCTTTTCGAAGAAGCCGATGAACGCGGCCCACGGGGAACTGCAGGCCGGCCCGCGACGAGCGCGACTTGGCCTTAGCTCGGACTTTGCCTCCCTGTTTCCCGCGGCCGGACATGCTGGAAGCGTTGGATGCAGCACAGAGGACACACAGAGCGGAGAACCGGGGCACTCATACTGACGCAAGCGCTCCTCCCCTTTTATCCCTTCCCTGGGCGGGCTGAGCCCTCCGTGATTGGCTGCAACCGGACACTGCTGAAACAACCAATGAGCGGACGGATCGTACGGTGACCAATCCGCGGCGAGGACACGCCCACTTCGGGAAGATCCAATCGCATTGCAATGTGCGGAGACTGAAATTTGCATACGGTGTCTCTATAAATAGCGGGCGCTGCGGCCATTTTATGTGCAGAGCTTTCTCTGGGAGGAAAAGTGCTTCCAAAATGCCTGAGCCGGCCAAGTCCGCCCCCGCGCCCAAGAAGGGCTCCAAGAAGGCGGTGACCAAGACTCAGAAGAAAGGCGACAAGAAGCGCAAGAAGAGCCGCAAGGAGAGCTACTCCATCTACGTGTACAAGGTGCTGAAGCAGGTGCACCCCGACACGGGCATCTCGTCCAAGGCCATGGGCATCATGAACTCCTTCGTGAACGACATCTTCGAGCGTATCGCCGGCGAGGCGTCGCGCCTGGCGCACTACAACAAGCGCTCCACCATCACGTCGCGGGAGATCCAGACGGCCGTGCGGCTGCTGCTGCCCGGCGAGCTGGCCAAGCACGCCGTGTCCGAGGGCACCAAGGCTGTCACCAAGTACACCAGCTCCAAGTAGGGCGTCTCGGACCGTCACTCTCAACCCAAAGGCTCTTTTAAGAGCCACCCACATTTTCAGTAAAAGAGCTTTAACACACAGTACTGCTTCGGTTTCCTTGTGTATGATAATTCATTTAAGAAATCGCAGATAGAATTTTAAGCAAACGTTTTATCGGTTACTTAATCCTGTAATGATATCTATGAAATCCTTGAGTATTTTGCAATTTACAGGTGATTAATGCACTCACTATTCATAAATATAAAAGTTAAAATAGTTTTCCAAAGCACGGAAAAAATAGTAAATCTTTTTACAGTAAAGATGTGAGATAATACTTCAAGGTTTGTTCCATCCAGATTAGGAGTTTCACAGTTGAATAAGCAAACATGCTTCAAGAAAATAAAAGGAAATAAATAAATTTCTTAAAGAGGCGGAGGGAAAAACAATTGACCCTCTTCACTTTTTGTATAGATATTTCGGAATTCTCTTAAGCTGAAACATTTTGCCTCGTATATGAAAAGACAAGGACTGCAGGACTCGGGGAAGGAGTTACACCACTGAGATGGGGCAGACGCTTTAGGGGGATGAGATCTCACGGAACGGGGGGACCCAGGAGCAGGGTTAGGCACAGAGCCAGCGCGGGCAGCGCTCCGAGCCCCCTCTCTGTTCCTCCCTCTTTGCACCCACTTCCCCTCCCCCCTCTTCCCCACCCCTTCCTCTGCAGCGCGGGCTTTTCCAAATTTCCCAGCGGCCCAATGAGCGGCCGGGGCCTCTCCCAGCAGCCACTGAGAGGCGGCTCCGGGCAGCCCCCGGTGCTGCTCGGGGCTCTGCGCCGCTCCGCCTCTGCGCTGCCGCCCGCGGGCTCCGGGACAGCCCCCGGCAGAGCCCCGGCCCGCCAGGCTGCGGGAGAGGAGCGCTGGCAGCTCCGACCCTCCTCCCGCCCCGACACTCGCCTCCTCGGAAATGTAGGTGGGTGAAATCACGCCGAAACTGAAACCTGCCCCACGACAGCGCTGGCAAGCGGGAAGGTCATTGCCAAGGAAGCGGAGGAGCCGTGCTGACAGTTCCCTGCTGCGGTCACTAAGAGGTGTGGCAGTCGCATCCGTGCTGTCAGGAATCGCGTTGATTTAGAGCAACGAAAGGAACCTCCACGCCCCAGAAAGGTACCCGCCTTTAAGCAGTCCCTTTAACATATACACCCACTTGCGGTGCTAAAAAGACCAAAAACATAAAAAAACAAAAACAAAAAAAACCAAACCAGCCTTTAGAAAGCGTTTTCCCAGGGAATGTAAACTTTTATTTTTCCAAGTCCCAGTGTAAAACCACGGTAGGAAGTTTAGCGTCCCATCCACTCCACAGACGAACGTCCCACCCAGATAGTGGCGAATAGTCGTCTCTGCTGCAGGCACCGAGCTCAGTGCCGGAGTGTATCAGCCCTTTTGGGGACAATAGTGGGTGGCTCTTAAAAGAGCCGTTGGGTTTAAAAGTATTTCCACTTCAACACTTTATTTCTTGGGAGCTGCCTTCTTTGCCTTGGCTGCTTTCGGTTTGGCCGCCTTGGGCTTGGCTGCTTTGGGTTTCACCGCCTTCGCCTTAGCCGGGCTCTTCGCTGCTGCCGCCGCTTTTTTGGGCTTGGCAGCCTTTGTCGCCTTCTTGGGGCTCTTTGCTGCTTTCTTGGCAGCTGCAGCCGCCGGCTTCTTGGCTTTCTTGGGGCTCTTCTTCACCGCCGCCGCCTTCTTGGGCTTCTTGGCAGCGCTGGCGGGCTTCTTAGCCGCCGGCTTCTTCGGCTTGGCAGCAGCTGTTCTCTTCTTGGGGGCTTTTTCCTTCACTTCCCCGGGTTTCTTGCTGAGGCGGAAGGAGCCGGAGGCGCCGGTGCCCTTGGTCTGCACCAGGGTGCCCTTGCTGACGAGGCTCTTGAGCCCCAGCTTGATGCGGCTGTTGTTCTTCTCCACATCGTAGCCGCCGGCGGCCAGCGCCTTCTTGAGCGCGGCGAGGGAGAGCCCCTTGCGCTCCTTGGAGGCGGACACGGCCTTGGTGATGAGCTCGGTGACGCTGGGCCCCGCGGGCTTGCGGGCTTTGGAGCCGCTCGCCGCCTTCTTCGGCTTCTTGGCGGCGGCCTTGGCGGCGGGGGCCGCGACAGCGGGAGCGGCGGCGGGAGCGGTCTCCGACATCGCTGCAGAGACTTCTTCCTAATCAAAAGAAAGTAATTGGGCTACAGTAACCCCGATGCCTGAATTTATAGCGAAGCGGTGATCTGTGATTGGTGCTTTGCAGAGCCCGCCTAACTGTTAGCCAGGAAGAGCTTTTCCTCCTCCGAGTCTGTGTTTCTTCGGAGTTATAAATTCATATTTTTCGTAAAAGGAGCGCCGTAAAATCACCCCGGTTTCTTCGGAGAGTGAAGAGAAGACAGTGGACTTTCATTCGGACAAGTTTCTTGCTGTTTGGACCACAGATGGCAGAGAAAAGCTGTTTTTAACCCCGCGTTGTGAAGCCAGAGAGACCCCGGGAACGGCAAACTTTTGTTTTTCCTTCTAAATTAAAATAAAACGCGTAGATAAAAAGTCTCCCCCGTACTGCAGGCTTACTCTTTGGGGGGTTTTCTTCAGATTAGGACAGAAACCGAGTGAGCAGCTTGAGTATTTTTGTCGTAAATTGATTTCAAAGACAAGGAAGTAACACAATTTCATGGCTGAGCTTTGAATATGGATAAAGATTCGGCTCTCTTAACCATATCTTTAGCTATTAAGGATACAGTATTTCAACATATTTTCTTGTTTTGGGAAAGGAAGACACCTTCAGAGGAATATATATACTGTTGAAAAGTGTTTGGAACTTGCCAGTGTTATGCTTTTTTTTTTTTTGGGGTTTTTTTTGCGTTATTTTGTTTTGGTTTTTGTGTGGTGTTCTGTAAGTGGATAGAAAGATTTTGACATTTTTACAAATAGTCTGTCTGTAAAATGAAGCTGTTAATGCCTAGTTAATGCCTAAAAATTCCAGATAAACTGCTGGTTTAACACTTTCTCGGTTATAATAGTGGATGCAATTCTTTATGACTTACAAAAACATCAGAGGCAGACTCGGAGAGGAAAAATGTCTTACAGGTATTGATACACTGCTATGTGTTATATACTGCTTAAACATTCATAGAGCCAGCTGAAACATCAGGGATCACACAATAAATAAAATAATGTGGAAATCTCGCCTTCATGAAGAGAATGCTTCAGTTTCAATATAACTTAAAAATATTTGGACACTGACTGTTGTGGTTTTGTGTTTTGGTTGTGTGTTTGGGGTGGGATTTTTTGTTCTTGTTTTTTTTTTTTTCCCATAGGTTTCATATTCCTCTAATTCTTTTCTTTGGAGGAAAAGGAAAAAAAATTCGCTATTGAGGTTTTCATCCCAAGACTAAGAATATTGAAATAATTTTAAGACAAAACTCATAAATCAGAGTCAGTTTTAATTATCATAATCCCACTTAATTATTGAGTCCCATAAACTGACAATAGAAATTAATTAAAATTTTTTAGTACTGCAGTAAATTGTTTAAGCTAATTTTTTATTAAATCAGAAAACAAAAGCCTCTAATTGTTAATAATTAAAAAGCAGACAGATTTTTTTCCCCTTGGTTTGAAAGAAGTTAAGATTAAACTTAATATTTTACCACAATGCACTTCGTAAAAATTTGTCATGCAAAATATCAGTGGGCTATTTCAACAATGAAACATCTTTTCTGACCTGGATAAATCTGAGATTCAAGATGACATGAAGTATGTTACAAAAGGCCCTGACTTGTATTCTGATACACTGAATGTTGAAGACACAATAAAGTTATGCTTGTTAGGATAAACAGCAGTTTTAATTTAAATGAGACAGATTAAAATGGCAATGATACATTGAAATTACAAGTGAAAACAATAAACTGTGGCTCTTCCATATTCTCTTTCATTTCTATTTTCATTTTGTTGTGCCTGCATGCAGGTGAAGCAATAAATACTTTGAAGGGGAGGAATGGAAAGCAGAGATTGGAAAAAATTAGATTTGTCAGGACTCCACTGTGAAAAACAGACTGAAAGGCATATTGAAGTGGGCTGTGAAATCTGCCATGCTTCTCGTGAACATGACATTGATCCCACATAAACAACTAGACCAAGTCCAAAGTAGCTGCAGATTTTGAAAGTTCAGTGTGGCAAGTCCTGTGAACACTATGATTATGTTTCAGAGGTAAAAAAGTAGTAGGATGAGGGCACTATGCATATTTTCCAGTCTAGATGAACAAAGATAAAGCAGAATCTGACTAAGTGATGCAAAAGTGAGCCGGGAAGTGTTGTCATCTATCCGAGCCTGTTTAATGTGATGTACATTCTTCAGAGAATAAAGACTTAGGTTAATGTGCTTTAATCCCTGCAGCTTTGACAGTTTGGTGTTAGAGCTCTGGGACTGCTTTTATTACGCTTGAAAGTGTTCGAGAAACTGGGATCAAGAGGGAGCGGACAGCGGCCGCTCCTGCAGGAATGCTGCTGGAACCCCAGGGGTGCATCCTCCTCCCTCACTTCACTCATTTGGGCAAGTTTCCATTCAGGCTTACTTTTAGTAAACCTGTTCTCAGCTCATCAGGAGAGGGGATCTTTCCTTCCCTTCCCCCATAAACAGACCGGATAAAGGTCAGAGATAAAGACACAAGAAGAAAGCGATGGGAGATCTCAGATCTTGCTCCTTAAGTAGCGGTCATTGGAACTCCACCCGCAGCAGATAAGGATTGTTGTCCCTATTCTGTGCTAGCTTTTAAAGGCACAGGAACGTTTCTGGATGGATTTTGGGTTTCTTTGTCCTTTTTTTTTGTAAGAAAAGCACGAGAAGAAGATTGTGAAGGTTGTCATCTAAATTATTTCAAGGGTAGAATATAGGAGTTCTTTCACATTTAGCTCTGGGTGCATCGCTGTAAATCCTCGTGTTCCCTGCTCCCTATTTTGAGTTGCACTTCTGATTTTCCCTAGCAGCCTGAGACACTGGAAGTCTTGGCAGCTGGCCTCGGGCATTGTGTGTCAGCATCCTTTATTGTATCTTTCCTTAACCATCACACAGGCTCTTATCTGCACATAGAATTATCCCTGGCCTACTTGGGAGAAGACAAAATGTTCCTGGTCTCACCATCCGTTTCTGGGGAGGGCGATTTTTTAAATTTTTTTTTTAATATATTTTTTTGTGTGTGTGTTAATAAAGAGAAGGAATTTAGAATATGAGGAAGTGTGAAAAGGGGAGGCTTTTTAGGGGTTATTTCTGTGCTCTGGGCCAAGCAGAGACATTTTCTAGTTAGTT